AAGTACACTATTTTTAATTAAAAATTTTCGATATTCTAAGAAAAGAAATTTTCTTGGGTATTGACTGTATAGCTCATACATCCTTAAGGAATTTAAACCAGAAGCTCGTCGAAAACATGTACGAATTTAAACGAATAATTGAAACGATATTATTATACAAGAATTTCGGTGATGTCTGTAATAATAATCGTTGATCGAAGACGCTTTTCCTATTCGTATATCGGTTTGAAAAAATGAGAATAGCTGAGGACGCGATGGGTTCCCCTCGTGGTTAGACGTTATTTACGGGACGCGGAGAATTTATGCGTGGCACACGTGCAGAAGGGTTTCGCGCACGCAAATCAGAGTATTCATGGCCATCGTCCTCAACGGGGTACCTTCGACGACGGGACAAGAGGCCGCAAAGCCGGCAATTACTCTTTGTCGGGAATGGTATCGGTAAATAGGTGTCGGCGGTGCAGCGACACGCGGGGAAACGCCTTCCTTTCCTATCGCGCGTATTCCTACGCCGCATCGGTGATCGATGAACGCGTCCACCCCCTCGCGTGCATACGTACGATCGATCGTGAGAAAAAAAAAAAAGAAGAAGAGAAGGATACCCGTCGTTCCGATCGAACAAAAAATGTTATTCGGAGCGGTGGACGGAAAAAAGTTCTGGACCGTATGGGAAGATAAGGAAATGCGCGTTAACGTCAACCTTTCCTCGACGTACCGACGCGACGGTTTTTCCTGTTTCACGTCGTTCCCCTTCGGGTGAAATACGGACTTTGCGAAAATCACGTTTGGAAAACGCGTATTGATCGATCTATCAGATTTTATAATTTCTTAACACGTAGTTCGAGGAGTTTAAACAATTTTTGTCGGAATATAACTATAATGAATCATCAGATTTTTATGACACATTTCATTCGAATGATTTGTCATTTCTATGGGACGCGTGTTTGAAAAACGATGTACAGGTCTGTAGAGCATTATTCATTTGCGACAGGAACATGAATAGGTGACGACTCGTCGTGAATCAGAGGCATAATTGCCGCTTGTTCCGTGATTGTCAGTATAGTTACGTGACACCTTGCCATCTCGGTAAACGTGTCTTTAGTGTTGCCACGAGTCAAAACTGTGTTACTGCTTCCTCCCTGTCCTCGTGTCTTAGATAACTGATTTTGCAGCTTCCCGTGGAATGGAGACAGCTTCCACTTTCAGCTGGCTCGACATAAGCGTATAGAGAACCGTGGTAGAAATAGTATTAACATAATAATCACTGTTTCGTTCTCGGTTTGGAATTCAGAAAATATTTCTCTAAATATCGACTGATTTCTTAGAGATTTCTCATACACGTCACAATTTCTACTGTCTTAAGATTGTATATAAAAATTACAAAAATAAAGCCAGTGAATAGAAATCGATATCTACTATAGACAGTAATTAATAAACGAGGGCAAACTGGTTTACGTTGTCACGTGCTAAGAATTTGAGATTCATTAGGCGTTCACGATTCAGTCTGAAATTGACTATTACCCGGTTTGAAATTCAGGAAATATCGCAAGAAGAATGGAAATGAATTATGAAAATATTAAACATTCATTAGAGATTTCTCATACACAATTTCTACTGTCTTAAAATTGTAATAAAAATTACAGAAAGAGAGCCAGTGAATAGAAATTGACCTCATCAGGAATTGACATCTACTATAAATAGTAATTAATAAACGAGGGCATAGTTTATGTTGTCACGTGTTAAGAATTTGAAATTCACTATTACTGAAATCGACTATTACCCGGTTTGAAATTCAGAGAATATCGCAAGAAGAATGAAAATGAATTATGAAAATATTAAACATCGACTGATTCCTTAAAGATTTCTCATACACGTCACAATTTCTACTGTCTTAAGATTGCATATAAAAATTACAGAGAGTCAATGAATAAAAATTGATATCTACTATAGACAGTAATTAATAAACGAGAGCATAATTTACGTTGTCACGTATTAAGAATTTGAAATTCATTAGGCGTTCGCGATTCACTGTAAAATCGATTATTACCCAGTTTGAAATTCAGGAAATATCGCAAGAAGAATGGAAATGAATTATGAAAATATTAAACATCGACTGATTCTTTAAAGATTTCTGATACACGTCACAATTTTTTACTGTCTTAAGATTGCGTATAAAAATTAGATTAGAAATGAATTACGAAAATATTAAACATCGACTGATACACGTCACAAATTCTACTATTTTAAGATCGTATATAAAAATTACAGAAAGAGAGCCAATGAATAAAAATTGACATTTACTATAGACAGTAATTAATAAACGAGAGCATAATTTACGTTGTCACGTATTAAGAATTTGAAATTCATTAGGCGTTTGCGATTCACTCTAAAATCGACTATTACCCAAAATTTCCTTGGCGGACGTTTATTCCGACAGGCGTATTAAGGACGGGTCATAGATCAATCGGGCAGCCTCGATGATCGTAGAGGCATGATGTTAGATTTATGCGACGATCAACTTGACGCGTGTAAACGGAATCGTCGGCCACGAAGAGCCCGCGTCGGACGACGTCAAAAGCGTGATCGGTCTTCCGAGGTCAAAGGTCTCTCGTTACATAAACGTCGCGAAACGAAGCTTTAGATTAATAAAAAATACAACATTTGATGCAAATATTTCTGGTAATGTGTAGCACCGTCAGATGGCTAGCCTAGTTTCCCGGAAATTTCTGAATAAATTGTACGATATAAGCTATTATCATAATTTAGCGTGGCTCGGCCATAGCGTCGAGTAATAGGATCAGTGTTATCGTTGGAATAACCCGATCGATATAAATTCCTGTCAATTTCGGATCGGGCGTGTAATTATAGTTTTCGAGCGACACGATGGTTAAAACTGTCTCGCGTGTGAATTCCAAACGGGCCACTAAATTATTCGTTTGAAACTCGGAACGTGACGATGCCTGATTTCGACTGAACGGTTTATTATTCAAATCCATAAAACGCTTCTCGATTTTACACGTGTTCGTAACACGATTGAACCTCGATTACTTTCAGCTATGAAACGCTGCGACGTTCCCTTAGCTTTCACAGCCTCGAGTCTAGACGAGAGTAACGTAGCTAATCAGACGAAATGTGCGGACCTGTTCCAGCCGGACTAAAGGCAGTACGCGAGGTAATTCGGTGGCGGTAAATCATGCTAGTCGTCGAAGGCACGGAGCCGAACTTTGTTAACGTTATCTCTCTCGTCCGCGATCGTAGGGGTGGCAGGAAATTCAACAGGACAGAGAGAAGGGAGCTGGTAATTCGTTTTCAGGATCGAAGAAAGACCGGGGAGGGAAAAACCGCTGGATAAAATATTTTATTGCTGGATTCCGTTCGGGTTACTCGGAATTTACCGCGCGAAGATAATAATTTCCTTGGATAGTTAAGACAGACGGAAGGTTCTATTGTCTTACCCTTTGCAATAAAGGGGTCGAAGGTATTAGTCTTTCCGTTTCGGTGAAATTCGACTTCTGAACGGGAGACTTAATGAAATCGAATCTGCTCGGTGAATATCGAAGAAAATTAGGATATTAATATCTCTTTAAATCTCTCTTTAAATCGCTTTATAATTACAATAGAATTTTCTTTATATGAACATTCTATCCCATCAGGAATAATTTCATAAAAAAGACTGCAGTCGAGTCTCTTAAAAGTAAAAAATTGTGAGATAATATTTTATTATTATAATTTTTCAAGATACGTGAAACATAAAATTTATTAAATGAAAACGTTTAACTAGAATATATTTAACGTTCGAAGAAGGTAACAAATTTTCCAGGATGATTACATCTTTTCAACAGTTCCGTTTCGATGAGATCTTGCGAGATCTCTCGTTCCAGCGTGATAGCTTAATTTCAGGCCGGATACGGTCGGCTAGACTATTACAACCCTAATCCAAACGGTGAAATAAGACTTTAAATAAAAATGATTCTCAAGAATCAAAATCGTCCAGTAAAATGATTAAAAAAATTCAATCTGGGTTTCATATTCTTTTATTCGCCAATAAAGCAAAGTTTGTTGTTCTCCGGAACATTTCTGTTTCCGACCAATTCGTATAACTTCTGTGCAAAAAGAATTCGCTAGTGCCAATAGTTAACGAGTTATAGACGAAAAACGAAAAACAGTTTTTTGCAATTTACTCGCAAACTATTGATGCTAGAGGAAAATTATTAGATAGGATTTGTAGATCTCGTCGTCCCCTACAAAATGAGCCTACAAACGTCCCCCTAAGACCATTCGTTTGGAAGTTATTGGCAAAAAACAGAAAAACAGTTTTTTGCAAATAACTCGTTAATTATTAGCAATGTTCTTCCGACGTCTGATTTCTTTTTAAAAAATGCGTTTCTAAAGTGCATAAACTTTTGGGATTGACTGTATAGCCAATACATCCTTAAATCAGTGCTAGCAGTTATTTATTCAGTCGGGTAAACGAAATTCGATGAACACAACGCCTTGATATAAAACTCAATGTACAAACGAGTGAATTTACATCGGATTTGCATATCACTTTGGAAGAACTGGATAGAATCGGCAATGAGAACATTGAAAGCGGATCAGGACGAAGGTTTCCGATCGAAGAGATTTCTATCCAATATCCATCGGTTTCGCTCGACGAAAAAGTGTCTATTCGTAAAAGACGAACTATGATAGGGCGCACGATGGATGAAGCTCTTACGATATTTTGCAGCTGGCTTTAATAAAAAGCGAGAAGCTGGGATCCCTCGGTTTCGCTTCCAGGGTGGATCGGTGGAAATTAATCGGAGAGAGATGACCGTTTCGCCGTCCCTCCCTCTGTGCCCCGACAATTCCCAACGTCGGGAATTGAACTTTTTAATTCTCACGCCTAGGTTCCGCCGACTGGCGCCTAACGAATTAATAACGAGTCAGGAAACTCGCCAGGCTCTGTATCTATCGTGTGTTAATATCTACGTTCGTATTCGATGTCCGATGATACTTTGTGCAATTTTCACTTTCAAAATAGGAATTCTTATAGACTTTCAAATTTTCTACATACCAAAAAAATGATTAATGTCTTTGAGATATTTCGTTTTCACAATCGAACTGTACTTCCCATGAATTAGGCATGAAGCTTAGGGCAAGACTAACCCAGGGGAATTGAAATAGAATTCTTTAACGGTGGACTGGCACTTTAAAAGAAAAGAGTTGATTTTCTTACGTTTTATGCTCCGGTTGAAAAAAATAATTTGAACGAAACGAAGCCCAGGGAAATTGGTTTGATTAAAATATCGGAGCAGATCCCGTTTGAATAAGGCGGTGTGCCGAAGGTCCTCAGGATATTGTAACCACAAATTGAATGGGAATGAAATCTTAGCTATCCGACGGATCCTCGGGCTTAATCCCCGTCATTTGTGTCGGGTACCGAGGGTGGAATTAGGATTACGTACTACGTCGGTATTGTTTCAGTCGAATACGTCCCCTGATCTTGAGTAACAGAGAGAAAGAAGATTCGGAGATGATTTATTTAATACTGGAATTAATTGAAAGTTGCAAGGGAGAAGAGGAATATGATAGAATTTCAATTTTCAAGAATACATAAAATTATCAGGTTTAAAAAATGTAGTTTGATTAATTCC